CAGCTGAGTTGGGGAACTTACACCTAAACAGATCTGGTTCCACTATTGGTATATTTTGCTTTTCATATCACCATGAATGGCTTTAAATTATATACAGAGTCTGTCTCACTCTATGCCCCAAACAGTTACTCACTGTACTGTTAGGGGGGGGGGGGGGAGTACCGAAATGTCAGGACTGTATAGTGGCTTATTTAATACAGCCATGGAGGGAGGGACATTTCCAGCAAAATGTAGGTCTTAGATCTAAGCAGAATTACACCCTTCTAAAGTCCATTGAAGTAAATGGCCATTCAACAAGAAAACCTTTGCTGAATGTTAAGTGAGAAATCATAATACTGTTGCACCTAGCATTGCTCAGTGTTTTTTGTCTCAAATGAACACTCTTCATTTCTCTGAGTGGTAAAAATTTCCAGGTGGCGACACCAACCTAACTAGGAGGGGTCACCTTCCACAAATTCTAATGAGCAGTTAAACAAAATAATCATTTGGCCTAACTCCTGACAATGACCCACTGAAAAAAAAATCACAATTGTGAAAGGACATTCGTATTTTGTCCTACGTCCTGGCTCCAGTCCACTTAGGCCAAACCCATTTACACTGATATGATACCAGTCTCCCAACAGAAGTCTTCCCCCTTTTAAAGAAAGTTTCATGCCTCAGCACCATAGCATTTTATGGCTATTGTGTATGCATGCACACACACTAATGTGGACAAAGCTTTAGCTGAAGTTTTGGAGGCATTCTATGATAGAAAGTTAAAGTAGAATGTGTGCTGTTTGCTTTGAGCCAAAGGTAGCTGTCAATGTTCCACCTGGATAGCCCAGGCTAGCCTGGTCTCAACAGGTCTCAGAAGCTAAGCAGAGTCAGCCCCGGTTAGTATTTGGAAGGGAGACTGCTAAGGAAGTCCAGGGTTGCTACACAGAGACAGGCAATGGCAAACTACCTCTGTTCCTCTCTTCCCTTGAAAACCCTATGTGGTCACCATAAATCGGCCACAACTTTAATGGCACTTTCCTCCACCACCACCAGGTTCAGGGTTTGCATAGTCTCAAAAACACTTTCTCCCTCATGGATCACTGCCTTGACATGGCGAGGGGGCTTGCGTGGTTCAATAAGGCTGTGGGCTATGCCGTGGAGGGCCACCCAGGACGGACAGGCCACAGCAGAGAACTCAGACCAAGTGTGATCCACTGGAGAAGGAAATGGCAACCCACTCCAGTATCTTTGCCAAGAAAACCCAATGGACATTAACAAAAGGCTAAAAGATATGACACTGGAAGATGAGCCCCTCAGGTCGGAAGGTATCCAATATGCTACTGGGGAAGAGCAGAGGGCAAGTACAAGTAACCACAGAAAGAGTGAAGCGGCTGGGCCAAAGCCGAAAGGATGCTCAGCTGTGGATGTGTCTGATAGTGAAAGGAAAGTCCAATGCTGCAAAGAACAATACTGCATAGGAACCTGGAAAGTAAGATCTATGAATCAAGGTAAGCTTGACGTGGTCAAAAATGAGATGGCAAGACTGAACATCGACATCTTGGGAATAAGTGAACTAAAGTGGACAGGAATGGGCGAATTTAACGCAGAAGACCATTATATCTACTACTGTGGCCGTAGAAAAAATGGTGTGGCCTTTATTGTCAACAAGAGAGAGAAAAAGGCAGTAATGGGATACAATCTCAAAAACGACAGAATGATCTCAGTCCGAATCCAAGGCAAACCATTCAACATCACAGTAATCCAAGTCTATGACCCAACCATTGATGCAGAGGAGGCTGAAATGGACCGGTTCAATGAAGACCCACAACACCACCTAGAACCAACATCAAAAAAAGATGTCCTTATCATCATAGGGGACTGGAATGCTAAAGTAGGAAGTCAAAAGGTAACCAGAATAACAAACAAGTTTGGCCTTGAAGAACAAAATGAAGCCGGGCAAAGGCTAACAGAATTTTGTCAAGAGAACACACTGGTCATAGCAAACACCCCCTTCCAACAGCCTAAGGGGCGACTCTACACATGGACATCACCAGATGGGCAACACAGAAATCAGATTGATTATATAATTTGCAGTCAAAGATGGAGAAGCTCTATCCAGTCAGTAAAAACAAGACCTGGAGCTGACTGTGGCTCAGATCATGAGCTACTCACTGCAAAATTCAGACTTAAACTGAAGAAAGTTGGGAAAACCACTAGGCCATTCAGATTTGACCTCGATCAGATCCCTAATGAATATACAGTGGAGGTGAAGAATAGGCTTAAGGGACTAAATTTGATAGAGTGCCTGAAGAACTATGGACAGAGGTTCGTGACATTGTACAGGAGGCAGCAATCACCACCATCCCAAAGAAAAAGAAATGCAAGAAAGCAAAGTGGCTGTCTGATGAGGCTTTACAAATAGCAGAGGAAAGAGGGAAAGCGAAAGGCAAAGGTGAAAAGGAAATATTTATCCAACTGAATGCAGATTTCCAGAGAACAACAAGGAGAGATAAGGAGGCCTTCCTGAATGAACAGTGCAAAGTAACAGAGGAAAACAATAGAATGGGAAGGACAAAAGATCTCTTCAAGAAAATTGGAGAAATCAAGGGATTGTTCCATGCAAAGCTGGCCATGATAAAGGACAAAAATGATAGGGACCTAACAGAAGCAGAAGAGATTAGGAAAAGATGGCAAGAATACACAGAAGAACTATACAAGAAGGACCTCAATGTCCTTGACAACCATGACGGAGTAATCACTGACCTTGAGACAGACATCCTGGAGTCTGAAGTCAAATGGGCCTTAGAAAACATTACTAACGGGCGGGGGACTTCCAGTTTTTGGCAACTTGCAGGTGGGTGCACTCCATCACAGCTCTGATGTGAGCGGCCCGCAAAACATGCCGATCGGGAGTTGATCTTGGGGTCTGAGTTGATCTTGGGCCCCTTCGACCCCTTGGAGGGGGGTCATAGCCTGGGGCGCGTGAGGTGCCTCTCTCAAGGCGGAAGGCAAGAGATTGAGGCTCCTTTTTGCCCTGATGGATCCCCGTGGCACGGAGCCAGCAATGGTATCAAGAAGCGCATACCGGCCAGAGTGCACAAGTGATCCATAGAAATTATCCTCTCTACATGCTAAACAAACGCAAGTAAAAATATGAGTGAATCCACGATTCAGCAAACAATCGATTAAACGCGAGCAGTAAAGCCGCACCAAAGCCCCAAGCAAGTGGAGGGGGGAGGGGACGCCCGATCCCGAAAAGACTGAGTTAAGTGGGGACTGAAAGGGCGGCTTGAAGGAAGCGGAATTTGGCTGAAAGTGGTGCTCATTAGCAAGAAAGCGGCAAATTATCGGACTTTCAGAGACTTTAAAAACTTTTCTCTTGCTGTAAACAATGAGCAGAAAGGATGGCGGCAAAAGCGAAACTTATAACAGGAACTGCCAGCACATCATCCCCGGCTACCAAACCGGAAGTAACCACAGACTTTCCTAAAATGATTGCTGCATCTTTGCAACCTCTACTGGACCAGATGACTAACCTTAATGACTAGTTTGATACACTGCAAAAGGAGCTCAAAGAAACTTCAGCAAAAACAGAGAAGATAGCCAAGAATATGAAAAAAGTTGACGTTAAGGCCAAAGAGATTGGACAAAGACTGGAGGTTGTGGAAAAAGAGAAAATCTCTGGGAATCAGCAATTGTTACTTCTTCAAATGGAGAAATCAGTATATGTCTTGAGATTTCAAAACATTCCGGAGCAGAAAGATGAGAATCTGAAAGAGACTTTAAGTCAAGAGCTGGCTCCTATGGTAGGCTTAACAGTGGAAACTATACAAAGCGATATTGATATGGTTTACCGTACGTATCCAGAATTTATTTAAAAAAACCAAGCTACCCGGGGAGGTATACGTGCACGAGTCAGACTCGACTGTGCAACTGAACAACAACAAAAACACTTTACATGGGGCAGAGACATTGTTGACAGTAAAATAGATACTTTCATGTTTTCATCTAACATTGAAAAGAAACAAGCTAAAGAAAGAAATCTGGCTAAAAATAAACAGGAGTCTTATGGTACCTTATAACTAACACAATTTTATTCCATCATAACCTTTGGTGTACTGAAGGCTCTAGAGCCCCTTTATTCAGGTGCTGTGAGCGGATTTTCACCATATAGCATCTGAAGAAGGGGGCTCTAGTCTACAAACACAGTGGAATAGAATGTTTATTTTTACAGTGCCACAAAACGCCTGTTTATTTTTATGATGCGACTAAGACAAGACAGGCTAATGATGACAAATTTAACACAAATGATAATAATCTAATAAAATAAGCAACTGATACTGTTTCCTAGTCTCCTCCTGTATTTCTTAAAGGTACTCCGCCGCCCGCCCCTTTCCAGTAGTCTCTTCTTGTGTCCTGCTCCGCCCCATAGAACTCTCCTGTCACTCACTTGTACTTCATTCCGTTACTGTAAAATCCGATACACAGGAAAACGCAAAGTAGTGATAACTTGGCCAGGAAACTTTTCTGTTCCGCGAAGTATCCATGGGTAGACCAGGGGCTAAAAGGATGAGAATGAGGGAGACAGCGTGCAGGATGCCCTTCGCAAACTGAATTTGCCCACCAAGCCCTGGGCTCCATAATACGGTCCTATTGTAAAGGATATCACTGAGTTCCCTTTTCAGATCTCACACGGACGAAGCACTTTCTCTTAATCTCACTGTAGCTCATGACCGTAAACAGATAAAAATCCACACATTTAAAATTACGGTACGTTTTCCCCAGTGATCGGTGAAACAGATAGCAAATGTACTCCAAACCAAACATCGGACTACTCTGCTTCAATCGCAACCAGCAAGTACCTGCGCGTGCGCACTAAAACCATGCAGACTCGATTACAGAAAGTTGGGCGCATGTGCTCTGGGCCCGTGCACACTTTCTTTCCTCCCGGTCAGTTTGCTGGCTTCCTAAATTCACGCGTGCGCTGTTAGTTTTAGGACTTCTCATTCTCTCCGCTCACAGTGTCGCGAGAGTGGCGTCTGAAGGCCATAGCGGAAGCTGGGCTGCGGCGCTCTTGCTGCGGGCGGGGGGAGGAAAAGGAAGCCCAGGAGGGGAAGAAGAGGGGGCCGCTCGTAGCGGAACCCCCAGCGGCTTACGGTAAGCTGGAGTCGGTGTAAAGGGGAGGTGACCATGCGGCGGGGGGAGGGTCCGATGCTGTTTCGGAGTCGCTCCTTTGCGGCTGACAAAGGGGGTTGGGCTGGTGGCGCCTCCCCGGTTGTCAAGGGGCCCATCTCCGCGCTTTACCTTAGGAAGCGTGCACCTCTGCTTTGCATTTGGGGAAGAGCGCGTGCCTGCGCAGTCCTATGCTCCCAACTCTGGAACTCTGCCGTGGCCTTCTAGTGACTGGTCTAGTAGTTCTTGACATTGGGTCAAGCGAGGCGATAGTTTCGATCGACCCTCTTGTTTGCTACTCCTTTTTGGAAGAGAGGGTGCTCTGGATATGTTCATAAGGGTACCTCGCTGTTCTCTTGTTCCTACTAAATGAAATGCTGCTATTACCTACGCTTGCAGAGAAGCGGAAGCTGTTTTGAACATAATCTTCCATAGGGAGAAAAAGCCAGATGGGGAAATACTGAAAGCAAGCTTTTGAGTTACACTCAAGTGGTTAAGACGCTGAACTGCAGGCTGTGGAAGGTCAATTCGAGACCCGTGTGCCGCATGACGGAGTGAGCTCCCGTCTCTAGTTCCAACTCCTGCCAACCTAGCAGTTCAAAAGCAAGAAATTGCAAGTAGATAAATAGGTACCACTTCGGTGGGAAGGTAACAGTGTTCCGTGCGCCTTGGTGTTTAGTCATGCCGGCCACATGACCACGGAAACGTCTTCGGACAGCGCTGGCTCTTCGGCTTTGAAACGGAGATGAGCACCGCAACCCTAGAGTCGGACTCAACTGGCTTTCGAGCAAGGGAACCTTTACCTTTACCTTTAAGTTCTTAAACGTATAACCCGATCCTGTGCCTCTCAGAAAAGTACCGCCAAATCACTTGGAACTTTTTACATAAGTGCTTTTTGACTTGCTGTCCTATTGTTAGAACTAACGTTTTGGGAGACCCCAGACATATGCATGGATGCACAACTCAGGGTTGATCTAAAGCAAGTGTAAGAATAGGTACTGTATTACTGTGATAATCTGTGAGCGTCTGAGTATTGAATGCCTGAATCTGGAAAAAAGTTCTATGCAGTTCAGAAGATTGTGTCTATTATATCTAAGCTCCAAAAAGAGAGAACAGAATTGGCTGATCCCCTCCCCACCCCATGATGACTAAGTAGTTTAATTAGACTCTGTGACAAGACATTTAGGCCTGTGCTACTTCACAGAAGCCATAATTCAGTACTTAAAGACCCCCCTCCACATGTCTCTCATTATTATTTAGTGTATCCAGAAGTAATAATATTATTCCCCCTCCCTGCAGTGTAATAAAGAAAATTCATTGTAATTAAATGCACTAAGTCTGCAATACTAGTTCACAAATTGTAACCAATGTTCCCTCTAAGCTGTGGAGTCCTGTGAGCAAAAATTCTACTTTGTGAGCTGCTGGCATTGAAGTTGTGAGCGAGCAATTTGACTGCCACATAAATTAGTTTGCTCTGGAGCCATCCTTCCTGAGCTAAGACACAAATGTGTGATCCGGAGGCTAAAAACCTGTGGGCTAGCTCACACTAACTCAGCTTAGAGGGAACACTGATTGTAACTAGTGTGCTTTTTCACAATATCACTTCAATGATTTGTGGAATTACATTCTGAAAACTGACTATTGAACATCTGTTACTGGCATAAAGGAGGAAATGGACCATTATTCTTGCCACTGAAGATTTCGCCAAACTTCCTCAGATGCTAATGACAGCTATTTTGTTTACTCAGAAAAGGGTGGTGGCTTTCGCTGTCCTTCCTGGAAGGCCAGTTCTTCATGTAGCTGTTCACAGAACATGGTGGGTGCCACAGAGACCATAAGCAAGAGAGTGGTGTAAAGGCTTGGTGTGGACCTAGCCATTCATATCTAGCAAAAACTGGTAACCCTTTTCTAAAAGGAAACTCTTCCGCGTATCATCTGTCTTGTATAGGAGAGGCTGAGTTATGAGTTAATGTGTTGAGTGTATGATTTTTTGGTATATTTCTGAGATACTGCCACATTGAAGATTCAATTTGACATGAGTTATTCCTGAGCAAAATGCATAGGATTGAGCTTCCTCTGTAGGCCAGTTGGGTCACACCTACAAAAGGTTGGTGTGGCCCAACTGGCCCCAAAAACGTTTGGGACTAGTTCAAGAGCAGAAAATGGAAATGCCTGTAACTCTTACCTTATTAACCAGTTCATGTACTATCTACTAAATGAACATTCAGATTAGCTTGAATGTTTCAGGGTTTACAGCATCATCCTAAGCAGAAAGTTAAGTGTCATCTGACTGTTTGCTATTTAATTGTTTGTTTTTACCTGTTTACAGTTACTTGTTTTTAATTTTACATGATTAAGTGGGTTTCCATAGTTTGTGTAAATATTTAGAAGTGAAAAAGGTGGCAGCAAGGCAGTTTTGTCACAATACATAGCATAACAATCAAGGAAACATACCTGAAAGACAAACTGGCTCCTTTCATTACTTCACTGTTTATTTAGCATGAAACACTGAAAGTTCAGCATACAACAAATAGTATTTAGAGTTACTTCCTTGTGTAGCCCATGTCACTGGACTGTTGACTTTTTCCCTTCAAAGGGAATAGTTTAAAATGTTTCATTGTTGGCCACTGAATAGTTAGAAATGTGAATACATTGCCAGATAAAGCCTTCTTGAGTTGATTCACATATGCCTGTGTATTGCTGGAATTATCAGATAGAAGACTTAACATGGATGATGTAGCTAACTCAGTTGAAAGGCCCTGTGTTAGAAGTGATAGGAACGTTGTCTGTAATGTCTCATTCACACACACGCATCACATCTTGATACTCAAGTGAGCATGCATTTTTGGCTTACAAACACTAGAGTACCCATCACTCAGTGAAAAATGTGTCTTTTTAACTGACTGAACCAGGGAATAAGAAGAATATTATATGACCTGATTTCTAGCTACTACTCCAGTGCATGGTGCAATTTGACATAACTCCACATTTTCACAAACAAGGGGTAAAGGGACTGTGTGCTTCCCATTTACTTCTGTGTTCCACTGAATACCTTCTGTTTGTACACCACTTTGTGGATAAGTATCTGCTGCTTAAATATTGGACGGCAATTTGAGTTGTATGTCTGGCTTGCATGAAAAAGTTACTTGCCCCAGGACAGTGCCTCTTACAAGGCTCTCTGAGGCTGTCTTATATTGATTTTTTTAGTTGGCTCCCCCCCTCAAATGATCTGTCTTCCCCTCCCTGTTCAGTTTTGGGTTGAGATGATTATAGTGACTTTCCAGTCTGATGAAAAATACATGCAGTCCTCATTACATGTGATATTAAAGATCATGTAAGCAACTTCCTTGTAAATCTATAGCTTTCCTTGTTGACTTCAGTAATGAAACAACCTTTATTTCAATGCATTTTGTGTATATTATATTTATTTATTATTTCGGTTTCTATCCCTCTTGAACCCCCCCATGGGTCTGAGCGGCTTACAGTATTCTTAATTAACCCTATCTATGGCCACATTTCAATCGGGGTGGGGACTACCCTACCGGCACCCTGTGGAAGGAGTTGTTGTACTTCTCACTCCTGGTTCGGCTGCTGGCTATTGCTGGCTCGGCGCTTTGTTCCGTTCTCCTGATAGCTTGCATGCCTTGGCAGCCACGTTTCTTTTCTTTTCTTTTTTTTAAGTACTGATGAAATTATAACATACCTTGCTGGGCAAAGTGGTAAATATGATTTTTTTAAAAAATCAGCTTTTCATTGGAGTCTTTTTAGCTGTTATGTTTGGATTTTTGCCTTAGTGTTGTCTTCATCAATGGCTAGTTGCTGTTCAACCCACAGCAAAGTCCCAACTGAATTCAGTGATACAAAAAAATAACTTAAATGAAACTGTTTTGGCAGAAGTAAAGTGGGGATTGAGTTGCTGTTATGTTCGTGTTTATGGTCAGTTTTGAACACTTTCAACCCGTGCTCTAATTTGTCCATTGTATACAAACTTAGCAGGCAGTACACTGCTGCATAATGAATCAACACTTTCAAATGAGGTTGTTAGAAGGACAACAGTGACAACAGCCTTTTAAGATATCATCCGCTCCAGACTGCCCAACACAAAGTGAAACACTCCTCCCTTTCCCCCACTTTTCTGTGTATCATAGAGATGGGAGGTTCTTTTGTGCTCAGCAGAATTGGTGGACTCTGTCCCTGCCACAGGTTCTCTGATATCTATAAAGGATTTAGGGGAATGGAGGAGTCGATTTCTAGATTCAAAAGCAATGAGAAAGTATATGAGGACTTGTGATGGATGGAATCATTGATGACTACAAACGATGTTGTGCTCCCAAGGGCAGTCAGAATGTACAAACCCTTGCATTAAGGGTGGTTTTTCTGTAATAAAGGAAGTTGGGTGTTTTTTTTACTTAAGAGAACTTTAGAATCATCTAAGAGTAATGTGAATATTTTTCCAGGAATGTATGTTTTAGTTCATTGTGTAATTTTAAAGTGCTTGTGGCTGCCAAGGCATGCAGGCTTCCTCGGGAGGTGGTGGGCTCTCCTTCTTTGGAGGTTTTCAAACAGAGGCTAGATGGCCATCTGACAGCAATGCTGATTCTGTGAACTTAGGCTGATCACGAGAGGGAGGGCAGGGAGGGTGGCATCAGTGCTTAGTTCTCGTGGCCCTTTCTTACATGCCCAGGGAAATGCTGATTGCCACTTTGGGGTCAGGAAGCAATTTTTCTCCAGGCCAGTTTGGCTGGAAATCCTGGAGGCTTTTTGTCATCTTCTGGGCATGGAACAGCAGTCACAGGGGGTGTAGGGGGGGAGGTATTTGTGAATTCCCTGCCTTGTGCAGGGGGTTGGGCTAGATGACCCTGGAAGTCCCTTCCAGCTCTGTGATTGTATATAACAATGTACAGGCATTTGTTTTGTTGCTGTTTTTCAATTCTAGATTTGCAAAACATGGCTGTTTTCACACTTTTTTTTTGGCCTTTGACTATCATTCTTTCAGCTCCATTACCCTCAACTGCCCAAAGGTTTCCAGCCACCATAAAAGACTCTGCCGTTTCTCTATTGTTGACCCTTACACAACAATAAATAAATATTAAAAAATATAAAAATAAATAAAGTAGATAAGTAGGTACCACTTTTGATGGGAAGGTAACAGCGTTCCGTGCGCCTCAGTGTTTAGTCATGCCGGCCACATGACCACGGAAATGTCTTCGGACAGCGCTGGCTCTTCGGCTTTGAAACAGAGATGAGCACCGCAACCCTAGAGTCGGATTCGACTGGCTTTCGAGGAAGGGAACCTTTACCTTTTTACACAACAGAAGTGATACCATTTTTCTTGCTTGCTTCAGGTCCCTCCCCCAAATCCACTTTTTCCATGAAGGCTCTAGAGAGCCAGCATATTGTAGTGGTTAAGAATGGCAGACTCTAATCTGGAAATTCCCCACTCTTCCGCATGAAGCCTGCTGGGTGACCTTGAGCCAGTCACAGTTCTCTCAGATTTCTCAGTCTCTCCTACCTCACAAGGTAACTGTTGTGGAGAGAGGAAGGAGATTGTAAGCCGCTTTGAGACTCCTTAGGGTAGGGAAAAGCAGGATATAAAAAAACAACTCTTCTTCTAGATCCCTTAGTCCTCTTCTTTTACAGAAACTTATATGAAACTGAAATGGATGCATATTTTCCCCTATTGTTCCCACCACCCTTGCCTCTCTGTATTTGTATAGAGACAATTTTTAGATTGTAAGCTTCTTGATGTAGGAGCATTTCTGTCTGCCTTTTCAGTATTCCAGTGAAATCAATATCTAAATATGAATGGGTAACTATCAAAGAAAGCAGCAATAGTACTATAAGACTTGTTGTTTCAATAGCATTCAGTTTAGCTGGAACACTTAGGGGTGCCATAGAATCAAGTGTCCCTCTATGTGGTTGTAATCTTACATTCACCTTGGAGTTAGGTTTGTGTAATTATAGTAAGATTTTCTTTAAAAGAAACATGGATAGGATATACTTGCGCTGGCTTCGGTAAGTAGCAACTTTGGAAGGGAAGGGGAATCAGCACACATTTGCTATTCTTCTGATGCAACTAAGGTTGCCAAAAGTGTGGAAATAAAATGCCCTGTCCCTTCAATAGATATGTAATGTGTTGAAATAAGCAGTTGAAGCTTTTCATGACATGGAGGTCAGTAACACCCCATAAAATCTCTAGTAAGGGTACAGGATAATTTTTCTCCTTGGTTAACAGAACAGAGTGAGTCCAGTGGCACCTTTAAGACCAAGAAAGTTTTGTTCTGGATGTATGCTTTTGTGTGCATTCACACTTCTTCAGATACGTTGAAATGGAGTCACCAGCTGGGTTGTTGGCAACTTGAGAAGTAAGCCATAGAGGTGTATTCTCTCCAAAATGTATTTCAGTTGCAGGCATATTTTGCAGCATACAAATCAAAACTTGGCTGCTGGGGGGCACTTTTTCCATTTAGTACAGCTGGAATTTATCTGTTTTATCATATTTTTCATTCTGTAAAGTGTAAGCATTTCCCTGCTATACCACAAGAGCATTCATGCAAGCCTTAAAAAAACATGCAGTGCTGTTCTTTCCCATGCAGCAATGACATACCATTACAACATTCTTTTCCCCATCACTTTGGTGTGTTTCACCTCCTTGAAAAAGGCTGAAACTGTAGTGCAGCTAATTGTAGCAGTGTAAAATGAACTTAGTTCATAGGAAATACTTGACCTCTTAAAAATGTACTTGTACCATTAAGAATTATGTCTCTGAAGTTTGTACATTTTTTTTTTGCCATCAAGGGTTTTTCTGTGTGTGTTTTCAGCCTGTCTGCCGAATGAGAGGCGTTCCCCCTAAGGAAACTCTTCTTCACATGCAGGGTTTAATATTTGATCAGTACCTGCAGTGTAAATACTACTGACTAGTTGTTTGAATTTTAAATTTGACTAAGCAAATGGCAGTTTGATAGGGCACACTGACATCCCTTGCTCTTAAAATATCATGGAATTCCATTGTAGGTTTCTTCTATTTCAAAACTGGGGTCTGGTTTTTAGAATATGCACCTGTTTAAGGTCAGTCTTTTACACAGCTGTTCTGCTTTTGTAACTGGTGGTATGCAAGTCTGCCTGTCTCCGGTGAGATCAGAAGTAAAACTGTTTTTTCTGTGAGCAGTAGCATTTGATGTAGTAGCCAGCGTGGGGTAGTGGTTAGGGGACCCAGATTCAAACCCCCCACTGTGCCACAGAATCTCACTGTGTGAGCTTGAGCCACTGGTTCTGTCCTCACTTTTAGCCTGTCCTCTCTTTTAGCCTGATGTACTTAACTGAGTAAGCTCCCGTCTCTAGTTCCAGCTCCTGTCAACCTAGCAGTTCGAAAGCAAGAAATTGCAAGTAGATAAATAGGTACCACTTCGGTGGGAAGGTAACAGCGTTCCGTGCGCCTCGGTGTTTAGTCATGCCGGCCACATGACCACGGAAACGTCTTCGGACAGCGCTGGCTCTTCGGCTTTGAAATGGAGATGAGCACCGCAACCCTAGAGTTGGACTCGACTGGCTTTCGAGCAAGGGAAACCTTTACCTTTAACAGGGTGGTTCTCCCTGTGTTGCTATCTCCCTTCCTTGTAAGACAGGCTTCCTGAAAGCTTATCAATTCATATTTTGATTGTAAATTAATTACCACCTCACAGCCCCATTGGTTGATCGGAGGTTTTTTTTTTTAATGCTATTTAGTATACTAACTCTTCATGCTTAAGATTGTTCTGTTAGAAACGAGGAATGCTTAGTCTACCTTGGCAGAAACCTGGGGAAACCCCAGTCCTGAGTAAGACCATTTAGAGAGTGTCATGTGTTTCAAAATCCAGAAACTGCAGACGTGGGTGGAGATTGGTGGCTGTTTTAAGATTTCTCTCGAACAGACTAGACTCCGTGTTGGAGAGAAGTCGGGGGAGGGGGTGCGGAAGTTAGGGCTACAGAAGCGACTGCAGCGTTTCTTCTGGGAAATGGTTGGTTGGGGAGCGTAAGCGCATGTCTGGATTTGAGAGAGTTCCCGGTCTCTGACTTCGGAAGCTAGGGGGATGATCCCTTAATCGATGGGGAGCTGGCCGGCGTTCGCTTCTCTACGAGCCTGGCAGTGGAGCCCGGCTTTGTTTGCCTCCTGCCTTCTTGCCTCTGGAGGAAGAGGGCGAGAGCACAGAGCGGCATCCGCTCTATAGGAAGGCTTGCTGGGGGCGTGGGGAGGGGCGGTGGCGGACTGCGTTCCTGTCTGTTGGCTGGCTGAGTGGGAGCCGTGCGAACGGCGGCTTCTCCTCGGCGCTGCGATTGGCCACGGCCAGTGCCATTCCGCGCTTCCAGGCTGTGCCCGGAGAAAGAGGGAGAGGCTGCAGAAAGAGGAAGCGGCGGACTGGAGTTGAGCCGGGAGGGCGGAGAGGTTCAGGGCGCGGCCTCTGTCATTGATTCGGGCTGTTTGCCTCAATGTCCCTTCTCTTCCTTTCCTCCTAGGGCGGATTGGCCCTCGCTGCCGTCCCCTGCATGTAAAAGACGGAGCCAGAAGTCCAGCAGAAAGCGGGAGCACGGAGGAGAGTGTGCGGGCTGAACCGGGAGTACCCGGAGAAGGATTCAGGGGAGAGCCCTTCCAATCCAGCCCCACTATTGCTGCCCACGGCCGGCCCGAGCATGGAAGCCATCGCCAAATACGATTTCAAAGCCACCGCAGACGATGAGCTCAGCTTCAAACGGGGGGATATCCTTAAGGTAAGGCTGGGCAGAGATTGCCCTCTTGAGGCTTTCTGTGATACAGTTCTGTTTCTCTGGAGACTCCGTCGGATCATTCCTAACATTCAGTGTCAGAATGAAAAGGCTAAATTGGTCTGCTGTCTGCAGCTTTTTATAGAAGCACTTTTCCTAGCACTTTGGATAGTTATCAGTCCAAATGCTGGGAGATGAAGTAAAGTAATTGCACCATTATGGTGCAGATTTTCTGTAGCACATGATTCTTTTTTTTGTTCCTGCTTCATAGGCAAACTCTCATGTTTCTAGTAACAGTACAACTTAATTCCATGCTTTCCAATTGTGTATCAAACCTGTCTAGTACCATTATTCTGGTATATTTCTGTGGGTGGAATGAGGATTTTAAACTTCAGTCTCCAGAGGGTTTCCTGAGTTAATTCTGTCAATTTGCTTTCATCAAAAGTGTGTTGATGCTTTCTTGGCAGTCTGGTCTAGTGGTTAGTGTGGTCTAGGTTGGCCAGGGTTCAAATCCTCATTCAAGCATGAAGCTCGCAGAGTGAGGTTTACATAAGAACATAAGAGACGCCAATGTTGGATCAGGCCAAAGGCCCATCCAGTCCAACACTTTGTCACACAGTGGCCAAAAATACCAGGTGCCATCAGGAGGTCCACCAGTGGGGCCAGGACATTAGATGCCCAGCCTTTGGCCAGTCACTGTTTCATTTTAATTTACTTGACAAAGTTGCAAGGGTAAAATGGAGGAGATAGAACCGTGTATCCAGAGCTCTTTGAAGGAAGGGCAGAATAAAAATGTGATAGGCATTGGGTTATATTAAATTGGAGGTGTAGGATTGATCTTTCAAAACTCAATTAATGTAATAAAGCCTTTTCCTGCTCCCTGGAAGCTTAGTAAAACGGCAGGAAGATGTAGGTGAATAGCTAGTTGCATTTAATAGACTATGATGTGTAGTCCACAATTTATTTGTAATTTCACATGAAGGCTTGCAGTTAAAAATAATTAAAATATGCAATGACATTATAGAGAGGAGCACACCCATTGAATTGCTGTGGTTAGTCAGCATGGTATGATTAGGAAGGGGGCAGGAAGTAGAAGGAGAAAGCTGGTCTAACTTATCCCCTCACTTGCCTCTTGCTTGATGGCTTCCTGTCCTCATGGATAGCTAAATCTTAACACTGTCATTTTGCATAATTCAGTGCAGCAGCACATTTGGAATGTTCTTTGACTTTTTCATACATCACTAATGCAGTATAAGATAGCTTTTATTTTATTTTGTGTTTTGTAAGAAGACGTAATTTAATAGCAGTTAATATGTATTGATTCTATCCTCTTTTTGAAGGAAAGAAGGGCAAGTAGTTACTGAGACACTGGATGTTGAAAAGGAGAGTTCATCTCCAGTTCTAGCCTGATATGGTTCTGTCTGTGATAATAGTTATATTGGCAAAGTTGTTTAATTTTCTTTCAAAGGATGGTGGATTGAAATCCCAGTCTTGTACTCTACTGGTACTGCCTTTCGTCCTACTTTAAATAGTAATCTGGCCCACATCATTTTAGGAAGTGAAAATAAGCAATGTGGTTAAAAATGGAATAAAATTCCTGTTTGGCTTTACAAACCCCTGTGAGAGTGGTTTCAGCTTGAAGATGGTGCTTCCCATGGAAGATTTCTTTAGATGGAGGGATGGTGATTTTGGCCAGTCTCCCCCATATTCTGTTCTTGGGGGTCCCATATCCCCTAGGAGTAGCATTTTATGTAGTATTTTGGGCAGAAGAGAGTGGGAGAAAAAGTCCCTCTCCATGAGTGAAAATAATTCCTTCCATGGAAATCTGACAGATCCAAGTCCACATTGACATTTATCAAAGCCACCTGAGCAGGGATTGGTATCTGTCGTTCTGCTATACAAACTGAACATTTTGACACCCTCATCCTCCCAGCAGATAGAATAATTCCCTTTTATGCATGGATGTGTGATAAATATGACACTATAAGCTAATGCTGAGGAAGGTTCAGTATTTTCTCCCACACACTTAAGCTTTGTAGCCATGCTGTTGTTGAAATATGAATACTGATTCCCAGAATGCAGTTAGGACCCTGCATCCCTCATTCAGTACTTCTGGAGAGAATTGACTATTGAAGGGGAACAGCTTAGCCTCACTGATTCAAATATAAAATATCCAGAAATGTTTTACCTTCATTAAGAATTTTTTAAAAAGAGATAATCTATTGAGCAGTTGCTAACTTTAACTAGTGCTCTGCTTGTGATTCTAAAACAAATGTTGGTTCGCTAGGTCCTTGTGAGGTGATGACAGTTGCTATAATTCATATTAAAGAAACAGAAGTTTCTATTTCAGGTTTGGTGGCAAATTCAAAGTTCAAGTTCCATGCATTTGTATTCATTTATATCCTGCTTCTCTCCCCAGTTGGGACTCAAACCAGGCGAGAACCTAGTTCTTCCTTCTTCCATTTCCTCACAACTTCTCTGTGAGGTAGGCCAGGCTGAGAGTTTGTGATGGTCCCAAGGTCCCCCACTGTGCTTCTGTGGTAGACGTAGGGATTCAAATCCAGGTCTCCCAGGATCCTAGTCTGACTCTTTATCAACTCCACCATGCTGGCTCTCATGCCTACTTAATAGTCATCTGTGTAGTGATAATAACCATTTCTCCTCATCACAGAAGTTAGTTCTCTTGTTCCTGAGCATGTCCTTGAGTTCTGATGAGAACAGTAAGCTGTCTTGCATTCATCAGTGTTTACTGCATATATAGAAGAACAAGACTGGCTAACTATCTGGAATACAGATGTAACTGACATTAGATCTGTTAAAGAACAAATGTCGCATACATATCTCTGAAAATTTTGCTGATCACAAGTTTATTGCTTTTTTGCTTCATACTTTATAACAAGGTAGAAAATGACTATATATATTTGAAAACTGCAGTGTCTGACAGGATTTTTATCCTCGTATGTCTGCAGTGAAGACAGCTGGAGGAGTTGCATGCTACTTTTGCATGCTTTATCATTTATTTCTGAAATGAATGCTTAGAAGTGTGAAATTATAAGTGTTGTCTGATCTGGCAGTATTGTGGTTCTTAAAATGCTGCCTGCGTGAATAGTAGATTTGTTACTCTGCGAAGAATTTTTAAAGCATTTGGGCAGTAGGAAAGGTGCATGGTGACTCCCATCTGATTTTTCAACAGATGTCTTCCTATCTGTTGGTATTCCCAGTAGTAATGTATGGCTGCGAGAGTTGGACTATAAGGAAGGCCGAGCACTGTAGAATAGATTCTTTTGAATTATGGTGCTGGAGATCGACTGCAAGGAGATCGAATGAGTCAATCCTAAAAGAAATCAAACCTGACTGTTCCCTGGAAGGCCAGATACTGAAGCTGAAGCTCAAATACTTTGGCCACCAAATGAGAAGGGAGCACTCACTGGAGAAGACCCTGATGCTGGGAAAGATTGAAGGTAACAGAAGACAACAAAGGATGAGATAGTGAGACAGTATTATCGATGCGACGAACATGAAATTAAGCAAACTCCGGAGCATGACGGAAGACAGGAGGGCCTGGCATGATGTGGTCCATGGGGTCATGAAGAGTCTGACTCAACTGTGCAACTAAACAACAACAATCTCATGGCTGTAGTCCAAAAGTGAAAGAAAATATTTAACCTTTGAGTCAAAACTGTATAAACCAGTTGAACATTGGCTCGCTTATGTTTTAGAATTTTGCTACTGATCTGGACAGTACTTACACAGTCTTTTGAGGAAAGTCTATACTGCTGCACACTATCTATAAAGTAAAGCAGAGAGTTTTCTCATTTGCCTTACAAAATGGTAAACGGTTATTTCTGCTTCAATTAGGCTTTCTTTGTTGCATTATATATATGTACAAATATTAAAATATTTATATCCTTCCTTTCCTTCGCTCAAGGTGGCTCACAACCAATGCCCCCTCTAAGCTGTGGAGTCCTGTGAACAAAAATTCTACTCTGTGAGCTACTGGCATTAAAGTTGTGAACAAGCGATTTGGCTACTGCGTAAATTAGTTTGCTCTGGAGCCATCCTTCCTCAGCTAAGACAGAGACGTGTGAATCTCTGTGAGCTAGCTCACACTAACTCAGAGGGATCACTGCTCACAACAATATTGTATTTTCTGAGTTTACTTATTTTATAAAAGTCACAACAACCAAATTTGCAGCTGCTCAGATCTTCTGTACATCATCTCCATAATGCTTTCTTGTAAATCTTACAGCCTGTTCTAAAAGTCATCAAATATTTGTTCTGCTCAGTCTCCTCTGAGAGACTGTTCCATAACCTTGGGGCAATCACTGATTATGGCTAGGGTCATTCTGATCTCCAATAATGGCAAGGCCTTGGAGACATGTATGAGGAAAGAAGGTTTCTTAGGCATGTCGAGCCTTCAGAAGGCTAAAGCAACTACTTTGAATGGTGCTCAGAAGCTGATACGTAACCAGTGCAGTTGCTGCGTAATAGCTTGAAAGTGTCCCCACCTTCTTTACAAGGAGGCGAGCCACCTTCTGAGCCAGTAGAAGTTTTGAGTTGTCTATAAGAGTAGTCCCATATAAAGTAGTGACTCCCCTTCTTTCTAAGGAGGAGTGCAACTTCTGTGTTCTGACTGATACAGGGGTACCTCTGGCCACTGATACTCATGCCTCCAGGTTCAATACTGGATACAGATACCCTCCCCCTCAAACTTTGAACCTGTTTTGATGCACTCACGATCATCCTTCAGTATCTGCAAAAGATGTTTCCCAAAGTATGTGGCTCATCTTCCTATATATGTGTGCGTGCGTGTGTGTATGTATAGAGACAGTAGCAGTAGAAAAGAGTAAGAATCCAGTAGCAGCATAAAGAGTAACAGAATTTGTGGTGGGGTATGAGGTTTCGTGAGTCACTCCTCACTTCTTCAGATGCAGAGAGAATAGATAATTTATTGTCTGAAATATAGCAATATATTATGTGATTCTTTCTTAAGAGTCTGTATTTAG